GGCAATTAATGCACCTGTACCGTTAACCAGTGACTCACAGAGATGCAGGATGTCCCACAAGACTTTTTCAATACCAATAAACCCATCAAAGGAATTTGGGAAACTATTCAAAAGGAGCATGAACCAAATGCCCATACATCTCTTTCCACACTGAAACAACCAGAGCAAATCTGAGTCTACAACCTAAAGAATGTAGCTGCAGGCTAGATTTTCAAGGAAAAAGAAAATCAAGGCAAAAGCACAGCTGAGAGTTAACAGAAGTCATTTCCAGTAGCTGCAGGAACGATATACAGTGGATGCAGAATTTTCATCATATCTTGATTATATTTTTCCAAATGGGTTACTGACAATAGGTTCTCAAGAGATCCAATTCTATCCCTTTGCTACCTGGCACAAAGATTTCTTGAGCTACGTTCAGCCAGTTTATCACGAATCCCTTGGAGTATACTCAGGAGGAAAAGACAACAGGGTGTTACAGCACGTTTCTGGTTAAATCTCAACAGAGCATGGCATAAGGAGCAGAAAACAGAATGCTGCACTAAGGATTGCATCTCGCAGTGATGCGATACACACAGACATCCATGTCTGAATTTGTCACAGCTTTATCTTTCAAGTATGTGCCTCCTGCTCACTCAGGTGTGTTTTATAGATGCGCTCACACACATCCCTTCAATCTTGAGAACCAAGATTCCTAACTCCACTGTGACTCCATGAAAATTTTGAACTACAAAAAATACATGAAGATGTATTTAATAAAATATATAAAATCTGATATATGAATACTAACTCTTGGGGGAGTAGCAAAACATGTTGGAGGAAGAGCAGAGGAAAAAGACAAGACATGAGAAAAGTTAAAGCATAATTACTCTGATGTTGCTGCTGATCCTTCAATGCCCTGAAGTCACTCAGAAAGAAATAATTCATATAAAAAAGTGTCTCTGAACTCTGAGTACCTAGATCTTATTATATACTCAAAAAGACACCAGTTTTCCTGCCTAATAACAATCCCCATCCTCAACTGTATTACAATTATTTGACCCCCTCAATCTGTTCAGAAAGAGGAAAACCCTCCCAGTATGGAGTGCACGCTCTGGGTAGATTTCTCTCGGTTTTAATCAGCCAACATTTTCCTTACAAATCTTGAGGTAATCAGCTTCTGGTATTCCAGACAGTTGCTTTTCAGTCAGGTGACAATCTCAAAATAAGCAATTTGCACAATGCACAGAGTAAATTCTTCAAACATCAAGTGCTTGGGGAGACTCCTCTCAGAGTGACCGGATGCTAATAAGTTCAAGACAACAGATAGAGGAAGGCAGCTAAGTTGTGTAGCTTTACTTTAACATCTTGTACACAAATGCTTTCCCTTTTTTAACTTCTTCAAGATTGCTAATGGCTAAAATGATTCACTCAACTGTAATGACTAAGCTTTACCTCCTGGCACAGCTAGCAGATGCTGTCCTAGCTCTTTCTAGCAGATGCTAATGCCCTCTTTTGGGGGGGAGAGGGCTAGTTATCATATTTTGCATCATGTTGGGTGTTGCTGGCTGACGATCACAAAGAACATCAGTGAAGGAGCTGGAAACACCATATTATCCTGAGACTCCCCATCTACTCCCTGCCCTGCATCCCACAGATGCACTCAGCTGCATCTGGAAAATGCCTTTCCTTCAAAAATATATTTCTTAAAAGCAATAATTATGAAGTGAGGAAGTTATCTTAACATATCAATAGCACTCTGAGGCATTCAAACAGCAATACAGTAAACTCAGTGAGAACTATAGTCATGTTTAGCTTCAATGCAGCCAACAGCTGCTTGCAGAGAAAGAGCTTTTAAATGTCAGGGGAAGCCTAGAAGTGAAGGGTACTTCTGGGCCCATGAGTGCCAGCCACACGGAGCTGCTCTGTCACTTCATAGGGGATTAATTTTAAACTAAAAGAAGGGAGATGCAGATTACATGTTAGGAAGAAATTCCTTACTCAGGAGGTGGTGAGGCACTAGCACAGGCTGCCGGAGAGCAGTGGGTGCCCCATCCCCAGTGGAGCTCAAGGCCAGGTTGGAGGGAGCCCTGGGCACTCTCAGCTGGTGGGAGGCAACCAGCCCACAGCATGGGGTTGGAACTGGGTGATCTTTAAGGTCTAACACAAGCCATCCAGTGATTCACTTCTGTCCTTTGCTGCTGGGGCTGCATCAAATTCTCATCAAATTCTCCTAACCAACAGTGAAAAAACCCAACCTAAGACTCCAGTTTCTCTTTAATAAAAGAAGAGAGCTCTTTTGTCTGATTTCACATCCTTTTACACTCAAATTCAATTAATGGTAATAAATTCCAAGAAATACTTTCTCCAAAACATCCTTTAAGAGCCCTCACTTCTTACTTAGTTAATTTATTGTGTGAGGATTTATCCAAGGTGGAGTCAAATAACACTGCAAGTAACTACACATCTAACTGCATGTTCCAGTACACTCAGTAGAGTATGCTAGAATTTGGTTATTAAATCCCATTTGCAGAGCCTATCCCTCATGCCTCAAAGGCTGAGTAAAAAGTTCCCTGCAATTGCTGTGGGCTCCTGTGACATCAGGAGAAATAGATTCCAATTTCATTCTAGAAAAAAAGCCAGAAATGCCCAGTCATAAAAACAGGACAAGAAACAGCAGGACAACAGGGCAGGAATCACACCAAACAAGAGAAGCAAAAGTCATAACTGATGAACTATTAGTTAATGTTTAGAGTGGAAAAGTAAAAAGGAGTTTTGGTCAGAGCCAGTAGCTGGATACTACTGAAAGATGATAAATAAGACTCCATAACCCAAAGAATTTATCTTATGAGAGAAGCAGTTAAAGCAAACAGAAATAAAGTGGGTAGAAGTGGAACAACAGATTATGACCCCAGCTGCTTTGATGTGACTGGCTGTTCTGAGCTGTTGATCTAATCCCTTTCTCCAGCTGTTGAACTGCATTAATATGTAGCTAAAAATACCTTCGCTGCTTTTTGGTTCTCCATATTGCTTTCTCTTTTGAGAAAATGCTATTAATTGTTAAAGAATTGTGTCTGGCAGAGTAAGTGGGTCACAAGCCATATAGTGAAAATGTGAAAGTTTTTGAACTCCTGACTTAGGCAATATACATTTGCTAAACTCATTTCTGTTTCAATAGTTTCTCTCTTTTACTATTTCCCTTTTTTTTTTTCCTCTGGATGTCTCATAGGAGCTGCTTGAGTCATATCCTACACAGACTATGGAGAGCTTCAGCTACTGCAGCTTCATCTGTAAGCTTCTGTAAAGCAGGGAGTGTTGTTAATTAATTCCTCAGACACCCAGTAGCCTGAAACTGCCACCTTTATCTAACACCTGCTGCTCCCCTGTACATCCACAACTGAGATGCCTAACTCCAGGCTGTCACAGCTGCTCCCAATGGAAACATCTTCCCTTCAGATGAGTCCCACAGAAAGTGACAGGATTCGACTGCACAGAGTTCTGGCAAAAGTAGCCTCTGAACAAAACAAAAAGGCCAGCAGTTTTCACAGAGGATGACGTGAAGCTTCAGAGCTTTGCCTCCTCTTGCACAGACCAAGCTCAGCACTTGAGAGGTAAAAAGAAGTCCAAGCAACAACAGGCTTACACTGCTGGTACTCTCACAGCAAGTCTGCCAGGCTGCATCCAGCATGCCAGGGTTGCATAGAGGAGAGGAAAGTGTGCATCAAAACATGTTTTCATCTTATCCAATCTGTATTTAAACCATCCTGTACACATGTGCACACCCACAGAGCACACACAGACCACTCTTCATTTCCTATCATTAAGGAGAGATTCATTTGACTGGCAAAGAATTTGGACAGGGGAAGCACATCAGTAAGCACAGCCCTCTGAGAAGAATGGCCTTATTTCTCCAGCTGCTGAGTAATATGACACGGGGATTTTTTATACCTCAAGAAAAAGTGAAATGAACACACAGCCAAACATTTACAAGTGTGATACAGTCTGATCCGATCAGTGTTTTCTCACTATATTCAGATGTCTGTTAATCATTCATTCCATAATTTTTCTACCACGCTTGCTCAATACATTAAAACTATGCCACTCTAAACATTCACATGTTAATTTCACATAGAAAACTTCTGCTGCTTCACTGAGAGGTCACAACATCAGTGGCTCTCACAGCTTGCCATCTCTGAAGACAGAATTAATCCTACAACTAGGCCTTCCATCCTAAACTGTGCTTACTTCAGAACTACAGTATGAAGTGTCTTCCTATACTCCTATCTCCCAACACCTGGTCATCATTGAAAACACAGAACATCATCCACTTTCTCAAGGGAGTAAGATTTCTGCTAACTGCCAAGAATGAATAGGAACACATGTAGCATAGGAAACAGGAGATGCAGTATGAGAAATACCATGTATATTCCTCAGCCCATATTCTTTCCAGCTAAATGAAATCTCAGTTCATCACAGAACACACAACATGAAAAACTAGAAAAGCCATGAGGAAATTAATAATACACGTATATGAATAAGGATAGGAAAGGGTTGGGGCCTAACAAAAGGCAGGAATAAACTTCAGTGTAAACACCTGTAGCTTAAAGAAAGAGGTTCAGCAGAAACAAGTCTAAACGTGATTTCACCAAAAACCTTACTGCCTTCAGTACTGCAGCAGGTTATCAATATGTTCAGGTATTTAGAGGGGAAAAAAATGGCATCAGCACTGCAGCTGAAATGGCAGCTCACTTGACGTACAGAATAAAGAAACTGCAATTTCAAAAAGCCTCCATGTTATTAATAGATACACACACATACAAACTTCCTAACCCCACTCAGCATCTTCTCATAATGTCATTATAACCACATCGCAGTAGGTGAATGACAAAAGATAAGCAAGGAGAAAAAGCCTGTAAGGAGTCATTGACCAAATCATCGCTTATTAAAGAAAGAAATGCAGTAATCAAACAACAGTTTGAAAAGCACAAGCATTAGCTTGATCATAACCAAACACAAATCCTTACCCGTGCATTCTTGTTCCTGGCTTCTCTCCTCGCTGCTTTCTCTTTCAGCCTTTTCTCCTAAAACAAATAAGAAAATCCACAGTTTGAAACAAAATTTCCAGCCTGTTTTTTTTTCTAGTAACTTAAGATTTTATTGGAAACGCCGAGATATTTTTAGTGCACACAGATTATAATGGTGGAATCTATTCTAAACATTATTGATGAAAAATTATATACAAAAAGATCTGCTTGAGATATTATTTCTTATTCTTGCTCTTAAATGATATCAAAATGATTCAAATTCACTGAAACTCACTACTCTTGAAGGAAATACACAGTTAAGTATTTTGATGAAGTTAGTACTTGTCTAAAACAGGTCAGATAAAAACTGCACCAAAAGGTAAGTTTTCTAATTTCTCACTGCTTTAACATGGAACTCAATCTATTTAACGAGCAAAAATAATAATTTTCCCTACTTCAGAATTGCTGAAGACTGAAAGCTATAACATATTCTCAATAGCTTTCTTATCTCCATTATTAAGTAAATGTTACTTTTTGTTACTGAATGTTACTGAAGAATTTTTGTTAGTAACTGCATCAATTCAGGAGCCATAACAACATCAAGCTGCCTCCACCAAAGGCAAATGAGTAAAAAGCAATGATAAAACTCATTCAAAGCTGCCAGCCAGATTTCTAACATCCCGAAGCAGCCAAAATATTTAACATAACTGACATTAATCACCCTCTTTCTCTCTTCTTTTTGTTACTGGGATTTGTTTATTTTTAAACCAACTGAAACGTTATTTTATTTGCTGTCAGGTCTTTGTAATTTAACATCCTTTCAATTATCGATTTCATGAGGTAAGGACAGAAATTCAAGTAAGGGCACTTACACCAGCTAGTAAAGGACACCATTCCCTATTTTCCATTTGTCTTATAGAATCATTGAGGTTGAGAAAGACCACTTAGTCCAAAATCAACCCACCCCACCACGCTCTCTAACCACATCCCTCAGTGTTACTTTCACATACTTCTTCAACACCTCCAGGGATGGTGACTCCACCACCTCCCAGGGCAGTCTGCTCCAATTCCTCACCACTCTTTCTGAGAAGAAACATTTCCCTATATCCAACTCGAACCACCCTTGGCACAGCACGAGGCCATAAACTCTCATCTTAGCAACGTCAACAAAATTGGTTACTCAACCTTTTTTACACAAGCATAAAAAAGCTTATGTGATGCATCTGTCTTTGTTCCTTTGAGCAACATAAGCCGTCCCTAGCACCAGCATGTAAGTCCACATAAACAGGACACCCCTTTAATATCAGCTCTGGGTCAACACGTTGGCACAGAAAAGGCTGAAAACCATGTTACAGCATGAAGACACATTTCAGATCGCTCTTGGATATGATGAGAAAACTCCAGCAGTTCTGGTGCTTTATCATCGCAATTAAAGAGCAGACACCATAAAATTAATGAGTAAGGTGGTCTGGTCAGGAGCACAGATGCCACTGTCACTGCTAGCTGAGCACACCCATATTGAAGCTACAACTGCCCAGAGACCATGCATGGTAAAGGACACTGATGCAGAGCACTCAGCTCTCTCTGGCCTGTGTTTCTTTTGGTCAGCACTCATCCTCTTCTCCTGTGCTTTAATGCTGCACTATTAGTTCTCAAGAGACCTTCCCTTTGGTGCTCTTGATGCTCTGGCATGTAACTCTACTGCAGTACTTCTGCTGAAGATGGACAAAGGCTTACTCTGCCATATAACACCAGTGCCAAGTCAGTTTCAATTTTCCAACACTATCACTAGTTTTACCAAAGCATACAGGAAGGTACTTCCCAAAGCTGCTTGGGAAAGTAGTATGGTACACGTGTGGTGCTGAGAAAGTCAGAACACACTACCAATATTTTCAATTGTTGTCTGAATTCAATTTCTTTTGAGACATCTTTGTGGTACATGCCATTTTCTGTCCTTCTGATTGCCCAAGCAACTGAAGCACTCTCAAAGTCTGTGTAGATCAACCTCTCTTCTCTACATCAAAACTGAACAGATCAAAAGTTCATTCCCAGAAGCAGGCAGTGAAAAAACTGAATGAGGTTTGTGTATCTCTGCCTTACACAGTTCTCCAGTGCTGCAGCTGACACCTTTGTACACCAAAACCTCAATCCATCCAAACCTACATGCCACTGCATTCAGCACATGGTATAAAAAACAAAAAAAAGACTTCACCGTAGTTAAACATAACACAGCTCTCATTGTTTCAGCTCTTTTAGAACATGAAAAAGCAGTCAATATTTTTATTTAAAGCCACAACAGCATCACATGGGCCAAAAGAAGCCACTGGAACCAGATGCCATCTGTGTGGACACTGTTAGTCTACTCGGCAACAGACCAGACCTGAGCACTCCAAGCACAAGCCCACTGCATCTCTCAGCCCTCAGCTGCCAAAACAGATGAACCAAGCATTGCAGACTTATGTTGAAAAAAGAATCTTGTTTTCCAAGACCTCAAAATGGAGGTGCTGAGGACTGATTCACTTTGGTCTTACATATAGTTAATGTGCCAGAAAATCAGGCTTAGGATATATACTAAAAAACAGTATTTGGAGAACTGTTTCATCCAGGAGTTTGGTGCTAGTCATTAACTGCTCTGAAGTTTAGACTGCATGTTTGCAGAACAATGGGATAGCAAGTCATGTTCAAGTCATCTTCCAGAAGTGATTTGACATCTATCAAAATATACAAATATGCAAGCTTGCTATCATTATTCGACCAACTTAATGATGTATGTTTACCTGAGTCTGAAAGCACTGCCATGAGTAGAACCAAAATTAACAATTTTGTAACAAAACAAAAAGTCAGTTTTTATCCAGCTATTCAGATATTAATATAAGAATTGTTTACACATACTCATATTTTCCAGGGACTATTACCACATTTACAAACTGATTTACCATTTATTAGTCAATATGTATAAGTCATATCAGATTTCAGATTCTAGATTTTAAGAACATCTTCCAAATATCCCCAACCTTTACCATTAAAACCCAGCAACTTTTACTACCAACTTACTGTATACAAATTACACTCAACCACCTCTGCCAATTAAAACAAGAACAGGCAGCAGAATGAGACAGCACCCAGATTGGTAAATGGCCATGGTTAAAAAAGAAAGATGAAATGACTCCATTGGGATGAACACAGCTCTGTTTGAATATACAGAAGCACAGAGAATGAAGATCTGGCTCCTCCTGAATTCCAGCAATATGAAAGACAGCAGTAAATGCTTTTCCTTTCAAATATGAGCTAGGTGTCTTTATGAAAGACAAAGGAAGGGGAAAAAGTTGGAAATATTCAGTGAACGTTTCTTCATAATGCAAACCAGCAGAGACAAAAGGGAAATAAGACAGGATGTTACCGCGATCCAGAGGGAGTTTGTATGATTCCCTTCCAAGTCAAGTTTGTATTCATTTCTGACCATTTTTATTTATACCTTTCTAATGATTTTACTGAGGTTTTCCACTTTCTCTCAATCCCTTTTTCTACGTGCTTTAGTTGGGCGTTCTTTGCTCACTCGGGTCACCATTATTCTCTTACTTTTCTGCTAAAACACTGATCCTTTTCAAACTTTACTTTCAAAAAAGTGAAAGAGAATACAGAGCTAGAAAATAACCTACTAGATATTACAAAGCAGGATAAAGCTGTTTTTAAATTGGGTAGAACAGAAAATTTTAGATAGTGTCTTAACTACAGCCACAGACTTAAGCCAATACAGTTGAAATTCCTGCTCAAGAGATTTACAAAGAGCACTGCAAAGACAGCTATGAAAGCAGAAGATTGACATAATGCCACAGAACAGAAATATGCCAGACAGCACAATATACGTATGTCTCTAAAGAAAAGTAAAGACAAAAAAGATCTTAAAGGTGCAGAGACTGGAATGAGGAGTACAAAAAAGAAAGTAGAAGAGGAGATGGGATCAATGCACCTGGCTACCACAAAAACAGGCTGTAGGACTGTATCACCTTTTACAGTAACATTCCTATCCTGGTTTAAAAAGAACTCTAGATTTAAAAACATTTCAGTGAAGCTGCTGTTACACTGAACTGAACTACTTATACTTGATTTTTAGCCCCTTCATCTCTTGACTGGCAGAAGGTATATTCGTATTTATTGAGACCATATTCAGGTCTCAATGTACATACGTCCCGCTCATGCCAACTCTGCTTTCTTTTCTAAGGTAAACAAAAGCAACTCCAGATGTCTCCCAGTATTTATGTCTGTTTTCCCAAATATTCCATGAAAAGGCATTTATATGAGATCTTACTATCTTTCCAACCACATTTCTCACTTTCGTTTGTACATTCAGTGATTCCTTTAGATCATGCCAGCAAAATCCCACAGCCATAGTTCACACTGACCTGGGCAACCAGAACATCACCCATATCTTTCTTTCTTAAGGCATCCATCTTTGAAGGAAGAGCTCACAGTCCTCACATTACACTCCAAAGTTCTTATTCTTATTTGCCCAAGGAGGCTGTGGATGCCCCATTCCTGGAGGCATTCAGGGCCAGGCTGGATGTGGCTCCGGGCAGCCTGGTCTGGTGGTTGGTGATTCTGCACATAGCAGGGGGTTGAAACTCGACGATGATTGTGGTACTTTTCAATTCAAGCCACCCTATGATTCCTATAAACATGTTCACAAACCAATTTTAAAACGCAGTTTTCTCTGCTTGAGCCCAACTTAGCAAGAAAGCTTTCCTGCACTTCACTAAAAAAAATTCTTGAAACAGTCCACTGTGAATCAGGAGCCACTGGTTTGCAAAGTTCCAACTGCTGAAATTTTGGTCTATTTAATTTGTGCTACATTAATCTTATTTTATTTAACTTATTAATCAAAATGCTCAAGTGAACAGCTTGTAGAAATGTCAATATATTTGATAGATTTATTTACCAAAACAAATTCTGTTCTGACAAAATCACACATAAACACATTTCACTACACCTACTTTGCACAAAGCCCCACTATTTACTGATACTCTTTTCATTTCACTCTGTAGTAAGGAGCCTTAAGC